GAAAGAATCTCATGCTGTAAAAAAGTGCAGACAGAGAAAGAAAGCTGTGCATGCCCCTAGGGAACATGCCGACAAAGAAAACGGCACATGAAAAAATACGGTTGCGAAGATGTTTTGGAGAAAAAAAAATCATGTCCTGTTTTCAGTTGACTGACCCTCGTATAATCCAGTAAGGAGAATGTGAGAAACCACTTGAGATATGAATAATTACTTTCATAAAATAGCCCAATCTCACGTTCGCCAGGAGAGTATGGTAGAGAAATTTAAAATACAGCTACCTAGTTGCTCTCTCTGTGGGTCTTTCCCATATGTCCCTTGATGTAGGCACATCATTCATGTGTAAAGAGAATTTTCTATCAAAAAATTTTCTAAGAAATCTCTGATGCAATGACCAAAGAGGATGAGTCAGCAAGGAGTCATGGTCACGAATCTCGGTGAGTATTGAGTTGCAGATCCGGGATTGGGCGGATGCAAAGACACCAGGCTGGTTTTGAGAGGAGATCGTGTGTGACGTCATCATGACGCATCATCATGTGGTTATGGCAGCCTCCTGAGTCCTGGCTCCGTTGAACTCTCGTATAGATCTATGTTGTCTCCTTGGTGCAGGTACGCTTACTATGTGCTCCACTTCACGAATTGCATGCCTCCTGTAGTCTTGCCAGGGTTTATTTAAACCTATGATGTGGATTTTACAGGTATAGTGTTTGGCCTGTTTCATAGCCCATACTACTGAAGCGTGGAACAAATTTGATGGGAATGGCAGCTCCACAATACTCAGCCGACCGCCAGTTTCTTTGGAGTCTTTTCCAGAAGTGAGTTTGTAGTAGCTTATAGTAATGTACTGGAGTAGCTGAGTCAACGTAGCCGTTTTTAGATGAGAGATGGTGTTAGTTGATTTAAGGTCTAACCTTGATGTGCAATCTCATGTTAGGTCTGATCCAGATAGTTATTTGTGCAGCCCCATTGAAAAATGTATAAAGAATGTGGACTAGGGCTTATATAATTAGTGCCTCTTAGTATTTTTGCCTTCCAGGACTAGGCGTATCTGTCACTCTTTTAATTCATATGCATATCTGAATCGGCCCCATTGCAGCACATGTTTTGTACAAATCCAGTCAAATTAAAGTCGATTCTTCTTTCAGTTCGTCATGCTGGGCAAAAAACTCAGACAAATTTCCACATGAGGGCTTAAGCTCAGCTCAAAAACCAATGCAGAATAGAACATAGCAATGAGGTGCAATCTTGGGCCCTGAGACTTTTGTGGCTGGTACCCCATCATGTTGTATTGTATTCATCTGTTCATTTTCTCAACTACTCATCCTTTATGAGAGCTCTTGGTTCAGGCATATCTAGGATCATCTTCCAATTCTTCTGATCCTAATGAGAAGACTCATGCTCAGTATATGGGATGCTGAACCTTGCACAACTGAACTATTTATGTATTTTAAACTTAGTTGTAAGTTGGATTCATGGGAAGTATATTACCATGGGGGCAAGGAAAGGAGAATGCCGTTCACGCCATATGGCGAGTGAGTTCAGCGTGACAAACCTCCACTACCATGCTAGGCAAGGAGAGGTTGAATGGGCATTTAAGTCCTTGGCAGTGAAAGGGTTAAGCTGCACCCCAACTGTGACCTGTGAGCCCCCCAAACTCTAGGCATCACAGGGTATGAACCTGATGCCATGAATGCTTCTCCTTCCCTCCAGAGGAAAAATTTATTGCCAGTGGTAAATTGGATCATAAAACTCTTGGCAGTTTTTTTTATTAGTACACATGGTTTGGCATTCCCTAGTATTACACACAGTAGTAATAATAAAAGGAGTTAGTTTAGCTATGGGAGGAACCCAAGTACCAAGTATTATTATACTTATAGCAGTGCTCTGACCTGATGGCAGAATTTTTTATGCTATGGAGGGTAAGCATTAGGCCTGTGTAATCCAATCTGGCTATGCTTAAGACTTAGATTTAGTTGTCATGTTAGAGATTTCATCAGCCATGGTCTACCTAGCTAATGAAGGACTAACTTGGGTCTTCTGGATGCATGTGCCTCATTGCATGGGTTTAGTGACTGAAGTTGATGAGGTAGCAGGAGTCTAACATAGCAAAGAAGGTAATTTTTTAAAAGGGAAATTTACATCTTGAGTTTGCACAGATATGAGACTATAGATAATGCCCCTTGAAGCAGTACCATTCTGAGAGGCAGGGCTCTTTGGCCCAATAATTATATTCCTTCCTGGAGGATTAGGCCCTATACAATTTCTGGCTAGAAGAGAAACTAAATAGAAAAAAATCATCAAAGCCTTTTTTTTTCCAATGGCATATCTTTTTTCTTGATATGAAGACAATTCTTGCATCCCTTCCTCTCCTACATCAGTTAAATACGTTTAACAAAAACAGAAGTTCAAACTATTGTTTCCAAATTATGAAAATATTTTTTACTCTACTTGGCTAATCAGCATGTGGCTCCAGGTTCAGAGTGTACATAGTACTTGGGCCTTTTGCTGAAATTTCTGAAACTGATTGATTACTTTGAAGTAATTTCTTGGAGGTTTGGTGCCATTAGCTAAGAAGCATTGTTTTTTAAAGTCTCATATTTATGCTGACAGCAGTTGCATGTGGGAACATTAGAAACTTCCAAAGTCGAACATTTTATTGATTTGGACTCCAGGGTGGACAGAGACAGGAGTGGGGAAATATCTGCTGCTGAACTGCAGGCTGCCTTGTCTAATGGCACATGGACCCCTTTCAATGCAGAAACAGTTCGTCTCATGATAGGTTAGTGATTCTGTTCATCCCAAATCTTTCAGGGTTGACAAAGACAGAAGTGGAGCAATCACTGCAAAGGAGTTACAAGATGCATTGGCTAATGGATCTTGGAGACCTTTCAGTATTGAAACTGTTCAACGGATGATTGGTCAGTCATATATCATCATCTGCCTGCTATTAATTTTGTATATGAGTGAGATTTGGTTGATTCAAAGTGAGAATAAAATACTGATGCCCAGAAACATCAACAAAGAATCATTAAGGAAAATATATCACTGATTTGTGATCCCATTTTGTCTGGCAGGTATGTTTGATCGCAATAACACCGGGACCATCAACTTTGAAGAATTTCAGGCACTTTGGAAGTATGTGACGGACTGGCAAGCTTGCTTCCGAAGCTTTGATCGGGACAACTCAGGAAACATTGATCGCAATGAGTTGAAAACAGCCCTGACTACTTTTGGATATCGTGTTTCAGATGGATTTTATGATCTTCTCATGAAGAAATTTGATAGATCTGCTCAAGGAATCATCCACTTTGATGATTTCATCCAGTGCTGTGTGGTGTTGCATGTTAGCTCAACTCCTTCACCTTCATACTTATGCAGTTTAAAATTTTCTCGTCAAGAATTTAATAGTGAATATATCTTTTTTTTTTCAGACCTTGACAGCAGCATTCCGGCAACATGACACTGATCTTGATGGAATTGTGACTGTATCCTATGAACAGTTTCTCACCATGGTCCTCAGCCTCAAGATTTGAGCCTCCATTTAGCTCCTCTCTCCTCCTGTGATTTCCTTTTCATGGTGTATTCTTGGCCATTAGGACTATGTCTTTTGATTTGTGTCATGCATGGTGCCCCATTTGTGCTTTCAAGCATCACCTTCATGATGTTATTTCTGGCATCCAGCTGCAAATACATATTTTTGAGTTTTGAGCTGACAATGGCTTCTCAGGTACCTGATATTAATCTGAGGGCATGAAGAATGCATTTCCCCTCACTATTAATTTAGTCTGCCTGTGTACATTATCCTTTGGTGATATTTCAATCCCAGATCTTATTTTTTTCACCAGAAAAAACCTACCCTGTAAGCATCAGATGTAATGTAGAATGCTCTGAAATTGGCTTTCAGAATACATTTTTGAATGAACCTCAAAAAGGAGGCAGTTGACACTTGACACCATCCTTGTAGGGAATGGCTCCGTGGCAACATAATGAATATCCCTAGCTGAACCTAATAGATTGCCTTATTTGCCACTAATATTAATCCCCTCCAAGTCCAGGCTGTGCCTACAAATCTTGTCCATGTTGGCCTAAACAATGGACAGGAGTGGAGTGAGAATCAACCCTGATGGAGCCCATTGCCTACCAGGAATGAGTCTGAACTCTTCCTTCTTACTTGAATGCAACTCCTGCAATCACTATCAGGACTGAATGGCTTGTAGTAGCTGACCAATAATCCTGCTGCTCTGAACTCCCAGCAGCTTTCATGTAAAAAATGGTTGTTTGTCCTCCTTAGATCCACAAGGCTCATGTGGAACTCTTCAGCATAATCCCTAAGCCTTTCAAGAATTGACTAGTAAAGAGCTGGTCCATGGTGTTGCACCCTGCTCAAAAAGCCCCCTTCCTCTTGAAAGGCCTCTCCAATGACTGCCTGAGCATGCTTTTCCTGAACTGACTTAGGAGAGTGATTGCATAATAGGTCCCTTTCCAAGTAGAACAGTATGTAGGACTAATATTTGGTCAGTATTGCAATATTGATCCAATTTACCGTGCTATTAGGGGTCTAGTCCTCTTAAAAAGAGGAACTGTCATTCCAGTTTGCCAGGCCAAGCTGTTCCTGATTCCCTTGCATTTTGATGTACCCCTTGCAGCCATGAGTGCCTATCAGTACAGTCAGGGCCTGATTAAGGTTATGAGGGGCCTAAGGCTAATGGGAGGGAAGGGCCTAAGTATGAATTACTTATTGCAAGAAAAATATGGAATGGAGAGCCTAAGGTTATAGCCTTTGGGTTAATCCGGCCCTGAGTACAGTACTCGTTTGCAGTGTCTCTTCTCAAGTGTAATTTCAGATTACCCATTCTTCATTATAATGATAGCCAGCATTACTTCCTTCATGGAGCCTACTTTCTGCTCAGCAGGGTACATCAGAGTCCGCTGTGGATGGGTTTAGTGTTTTTCACTTGACTCAGACACGTGCATGAGACGTTCCTCATGCATGGGTGTCGAAGTGAAAAACACATTTTTCCGGGCTAGGTATCATATATTCATGACAAAAATGGAGGTCCATTGGACCCCCTTGCTCGTTTCTTTTCTTTGAAGCAAATCAAAATGTTAAAAATTCGTTATTGGACCTATATCAATGAAAGACATCAAATTTGAAGACTTCTGGGCAACTGGAGTCCACTGGACTACTGTTGCCCAGATAAGGGCCCGTTCACACCGACTGCGAAGAGCTGCGTTGCGACCACTGGAGATGCGTGAGACCTTCGCATTCGGTCGCAGTACACTTCGCAACGGAATAGGGAGAGTCTGTTCCTGTCGCATCTTCGCAGTGATTCGTGCTGTGTATCTACTGACAGCAAGTTATGGAGTCTTTAGATAACGTTTTGGGGTCTCTTTTGGTGAATGACTTCGGCGGTAGATGATGCCAATCATCACCATTGAATCTCCATGAGCGAGATACATAGATATACGAAATAAATTTTCAAGAGAGGTCTAGATGTCATTCATGTTCCTGGTTATATCGATTGTTTCTATCCGTGAATTTAATTTTTATATTTTAAGTTGGGAAGCACCTGTTCCTCGAGTGCAAAAGCCTGAGTCATACCTTCCTTTGACCCTTCAAGCAGATCATTTAAAGGGGGAGAACATTCCCAGCGACGGTAATATTTTTTGCAGTTTCGCGCAACGGCGTAACCTCTCAAGCTAATTTTATTTCGATTACTGTACTTCTGATTATATAAATAATATAATTATGCATCGAGTACACACACTGACCATAATAATAGAAAGCCCCAGCCAAGTAGAGGATGTCCCAGTTAAAATTCTGAGATTTGTATATTTCATTAAAATTTCACCAGATATGGAGTAAGTTTTCTTATAGTCATTAAATTTTATAGTCTATAAGTTTTCTGCAGAAAAGTTTCAGTCGATTCCGTGCAATCATTCTTCAGATACGGCTAAAGAGGCAAAGTATGGCGGTTTTGATGCTTTTCCCCGAACAGCCGCTCAAGTGTGGCGTCATCTTCTAAGATCGGCATGCAGAAGTATGCGTAAGATAATGCAGTACCTCTGTCGTCCGTAACGTGTTTCTGAATTTGCGGTACCTCGCTTCATGACTCATCAAAAGGCAAAAACTTTGTTCAGATTCGAGCAGTTCAACGTTATCGTCCAAGTTCAGCGTTGATTTCATCGAGAATTTAATGAATAAAGTGCGTTAGCTGTGGAAGTCTTGTCGGAGTCACAGTGATTAAAGAGCAAGACGATGAATAAATGTTTCGATATTGATTAGTTTACTTTTCCCTTACATGTCCCGATTGTTCAATTTGGGAAACTTACCTACTGCCTTTTCGGACTGTGCATGATCACTCGAATCTGCTTTTTCAGCCGTGACTCAAGAACTGACGCACCAAATCGACCCGAAACTTAGCTGCAGATAACTCATAGACATACTTAACATCTGGAGAAAATTCAAGCAAATTCTGATCATTTGTTCAAATATGATGAAACATTAAAATCCCGATGTGTTAACTGGGACACCTTGTACCTGGCTGGGAGTTTACTATTTTGGCCAGTTCGTGTATTCAAGACCACACTGAACGTCACTGTCACATCTTACCCGCGCAGTAGATATACCATAGTGGAGGTCACAATGACGTCAAACCCGCTTGAAGGGTGAAGAGAGTGCTGCATGATTTATGCGCATTTGAGATTTACAGAATGTTTGTATTGAGTATGCATTTATCCACTTCGGGGTCAATGCCACCATTTGCGCTGGGGAAATGCATGGTCTGAAGAGTGTGTCCTGCCCTCTCCTCCAGCAGGCCAAGGGTCTTGAATGGCTCAGGAGACATTCTTATGGACAGGAGGAAAACACTCCTTGTCTTCGATGTTAATCTTTTCTACTAAAAACGTGAAATCTCTCATCTGATGACTGGATCTGTGTACAGGACATACCTGCCACTCTCCCTCCCCCTCCTGGAGCCGCAAAAACAGCACAAGTGTTGCAACACGAGCTCTCAAGTTATGCAGTCGTGTTGAATTTCGCTTGGGGGCTCTGCGACCAGTGTGGGAGATGCTTTGCAAGCGGTCATAGTCAAGAAATAACTTCGAGCCTCGCAGACGGTCGCGGTGCGACTTCACCACAGCGCTTCGCAGTCAGTATGCATCGGTCTTAAGGGTTAAGATCCTTTCTAAGGATATCCCCTCAGTAATGTAATACACAGCCCAGTTTTCATGCCTCATTCACTTGTAGACTGTAGGGTTTCACTTAGAGTCTAAAAATTGACTCTTCTCTAAGTAGAGTCACTCTTTTCGGGTTGAAGTTCCCTGTCTGATTGGTACGCTTTGTATCAACTTCTTTACAATTGATACAATGATCTTTGGCCTATTCTCTCAGTGCATTGGTATTGTGTTACCTTGGAAATATTATTGACGCTTCATATGCACACAGCATACGTTGAGGCATGATCCTGACATGTAACTCTTCCATCAGTTTTTTGTTGTTGTCAGTTTCATGTTACATTTAAGTCCAGTTAGTAAAGACGAGTGAAGAACGGAAGGCTAGTGATGGGGAGGATGCTTAATAAATAAAAAATACATATTCCAATCTTTGAATTTTGGATATTGGATATTTCCCTAGTATCCATATCCAAAATTCAGTAATTGGAAAATGATGAAAAGATGAAAATGGTGGTACATCCACTTACTCTTAGGTGAAGATCAACACGTTCAATTTTGGCTTGGCGGATTCATTGAGTTTCTATCTCTATAGAATTTTTTTTGCATTACATGACAGAAACTGACACAGGCCTCAATTTGGGCCCGACTCAGATGTACGAGTATTACCCAATTGACACACATTTTTACGACACTCAAATGACATGCAAGTTGTTGAAACTGTTTATCCAACACCAGGAGTTTTAACAATTGTATACTTCACATACTGCCATCCATGATAATGGATTTCACGGCTGCAACATTTCCCTGGCTGAAACAGAGTCATCTCTTGAGGATCGTCATCCAGGTTGAAAAGTTGCACTTGAATTTTAAAGTCAGCTTTTCACTGAATGGACAGATTGTATCTCACTGCCAAAAGCAGCCACCGTTCGTTTATTTAATTGTGAGGCCTTTCCTAAAACAAAAGAAGATCGCCACCCTGCGAGTGAGATCAAGGACAGGGACTGACCTTTTTCCACTTGACCCAGTTTTGTGCGTTCGAAAGACATGAAAACATAGCAACCATGTTGAATAAACGTACCGAGCGATTATGAAGTCACTTGAAGGGTGCACATTACTCTAACGCAAAAACGATCCATTACAGCTCAGTGAAACTTGGAATAATATAGGGGCGAAAACATTGCACAAAAAAGACAATGCCTGATAGGGAACACTCCAAATGTGACATCACTTGCATACACAGCAGGTGGAGCTATGGATGGGTACGTACAAGGCAGCGCTAAGAATGTCATGTCGCCTCTGGGTTGAATCCTCTTTAGCATTAAAATAGTTGAGAAATAGAAAAACTCATGGTAATCAATCAGCAATCTGGTATTTGACCTGGCTTGTATCATATTATTCCAAAAACAACACTGGCAGCAGAATAAGACATGACTTGGTGGAAAAAATTATTTAGTTCAATTATTAGACTCAATTTTATGCAAGTGGTTCACTGATAGTTTCAGGTGGAAGTACGAGAACACCAACGTATCTTCT